CACACACACACACACACACACTCACACACACACACTCATATCTGCAATTAAGGGCCCTTTTATCATTTGAAATGCAACACTCTGAAAAAAAAATTACAAACTATTATTTTGGGTAAAGAAACCTATCACATTGCACAAAATACATAAAATAGTAGTAGTAGTAGTAATATAAAGGCCTCTGCATTTAAAGGTCTCTTTAATCATTAGAAATGTAACTATGTAACACAAGGACAAAATAAAACAATTATATATATATATATATATCTACGTTTATATATAACAAATGGCTCAATACAAAATACATATTTACATATACAAATATATAATATAATATAATATAATATAATATAATATAATATAATATAATATAATAATATATATGAAACTATGTAAAACAAAAATAAAAACCACAACTATACAACTACTACTACTACTAATTTAATATAGAGAGAAATAATATATTGAGAAATAGAGATACAATATATATATATATATATATATACACTCTCTCTACATATATAAAATGTATAATATTACATATATACTGAATTGACCATAAAAAAATTACTACATACAGTATGTATATGAAAATGTAAAAACAAATAAAAACTATGTATATCCAACAAAACAGGCCATATATTTCTCTAGTAGGCTTTTAATAAAGTTGTGAGTGGCTGTGAAAGTAAGGCTAACAGGCTTGTTTTAATAGGATAAAGCAGATCTGTGCAAGAGTGCTGACTGGGCAGGTGTAGCTACATGAGGTAAATCTCTCACTCTATGGCTCAGAGTCAAGCAAGCACATGTACATAAATTACACCAGTATAATATAGAGACAGCAAAAGTACAATGAAATTACAGTTAAATAAATACCACAAACAAATGTGGTCATTCCCATATGCCTTGAGGCACTCTGGTGAAATCATTTAAACATGAACATAAAATTAGTTCTGAATATGGAACAATTATAAAAACAACAGGTTGCTAAAATTCTCAGTGCAACTGTATAAATGACGGGCCCCACCAATAATTTGAGCTTTTGTTGGAAGGAGTATAAATTATATACCATTCAAGAAGGCAGGGATGAGGCTTTGTCTTTGTCACTCTAGTCTCTCATTAATCTCCAAATCCTTCTCAGGGTCACGCAGGTCTGAGATATCATTACAGAGAAGATATCATTACGTTCTCTTACAGAACAAATGAACCACAAGCGAACTCCTCGCTTGAAAACACTAGTTGTAATTTGACTGCATCTTTCATTTCATCAGACAGAAGGTCTGTAATTCTAAGGGGCTCTGTGAATCTTCTGATCAAGAGAGAATGGGACAGGATTTAGGTTAATGGAAAACAGTTGGTGAGTTTGATCTGAATTTGTGGCAATTTTCTTCCTCTTAGAGTAACATTTTGTCCATTTTAGATTTTTTTTCATGACTTTTAACAAATGGGAACACATGTAAATTATAAATCACTGCTTCAGTCTGTTGCTTTAGAGGAAAAGGAATCATGACTGTTGTACCTGCATCAGGGGGTATTGCAGTCCCACCTCAAATGTCTCCGATAATGGAGGAGTACACAGAGGAGGACAGTGAAGACCCAATTCTAGCTCCAAGTGCAGGACGTATATTTAACATCAACAACAGCAACAACAATGAAGAGTAAAAAGATTATAATATAATATAATATAATATAATATAATATAATATAATATAATATAATATAATATAATATGAATGTGTATTAGTGGCAATGGTGTATTTTGCTCTCTGTAGGGAGGACAAGAAGAAAAAGAAAAAGGAGAAAAAAGAAAAGAAGGAAAAGAAAGAGTAAGTAGCATACCAAGTATTTCTTATTTAAAATAGTTTGGTTATGAATAATGTTTAAATATTTTGCTGTGTTATGTGTTGTCCTACAGGAAAAAAGAAAAGAAAGAGAAGAAAGAAAAAAAAGAGAAGAAACAAAAGGATGAAAAAGAAAAAGAAAATGAGAACGAAAAGGAAAAGGAAAAGGAAAAGGAAAAAGAAAAGGAAAAGGAAAAGGAGAAAGAAAAAGAAAAGGAAAAGGAAAAGGAACAAGAAAAAAAGGAGGGGTTGGTATCAGACTTTTTATCAGTCGTTTCTAACCCGTGATTTTACAAAGTTCAAAGTAATCATCATTGATTATTTCTCATTTCTCAACTTCATTTTCTCAAGCCCTAAGGAGGTATTTGTGATTAACCCAGCGGGACTCCTGTACTATCAATGGCTGCTTATAATCACAATTCCTATCATGTACAATTGGACAGCTATAATTGCAAGGTAATAATTGAATGTTCATGTTTTAATAAGATGAGGTTACCAGGAGATGAGAGAAGGATACAAATAGAAGATGTCTCCTTTTTATTAACCTCTGAAGTGTGCTCCTTTACGTCTTCCTTAGTCTCTTACATTCATATTCACTAATAAATATGATGATGGTAATACATTCAGCACCATCCCACATGATATGCACATTTTGGTAGCTTGATAAATGGGTGTAATACTTTTGAGAATTTTTATACTGTGTCTCTTTGCATAGAGCCTGCTTTGAGGAGCTGCAGCATGACTATCTCCTGATATGGTTCCTCCTGGACTACACCTCCGACCTGCTTTATTTAGCTGACATGGCCTTCAGAGCACGAACAAGTTAGTCTAACATCAGATAACTTTTTAATGAAGCAACAAAGTTTAGTGAAGATTTGGGTCACGATGTTTTCATGCCACCTTTCTTTAACAGGTTACCTGGAACAGGGCTTACTTGTCAAAGACGAAAAGCTCCTTCTTCAGCGGTATAAAGACAGTCTTCAGTTCCGCATTGATGTCATCTCTATGCTACCCACAGACATCTTCTACTTCGTTTTAGGGTTAGACTACCCAGAGATCCGCATAAACAAGTTGCTCCGGCTGAACCGCATGTTTGAGTTCTTCACAATCTCAGAAACCATGACCAACTACCCCAACATCTTCCGAATCTGCACTTTGATCATGTACATCATCATCATCATCCACTGGAACGCATGCCTCTACTTCTCCTTCTCCAAAGCCATTGGGTTCGGATCAGATGCATGGGTGTATCCCGCTCTCACTGAACCCGAGTTCGGAGAGCTGATGCGAAAATATTCCTTCAGCCTCTACTGGTCCACTCTTACCCTCACCACCATCGGAGAGATGCCGTCTCCGGAGCTAGACTCTGAATTCTTCTTTCATGTGGTTGACTTCCTGGTGGGTGTCTTGATCTTTGCCACCATTGTGGGTAACATTGCTACAATGATCTCAAATATGAATGCGGCCCAGGCTCAGTTCCAAGCCAGGATTGACAACATCAAGCAGTACATGCATGCGCGGCATGTCAGCAAAGATCTTGAGATACGTGTCATCAAGTGGTTTGACTACCTGTGGACTAACAAGAAAGCACAAGATGAAAGAGAGGTGCTGAGGTACTTGCCAGACAAGTTACGGGCGGAGATAGGCATGAATGTGCACTTAGATACGCTCATGAAGGTGCGGATCTTTGCCGACTGTGAAGCAGGGCTACTGATCGAGTTGGTGTTGAAGCTTCGCCCTCAGGTCTTCAGTCCCGGTGACTACATCTGTCGCAAGGGCGATATTGGCCGGGAGATGTACATCATAAAGGATGGCAAACTTGCTGTGGTGGCTGACGATGGTGTAACTCAATTTGTCGTCCTTAGCGATGGGAGCTACTTTGGAGAAATCAGCATTCTAAACATTAAGGGCAGCAAGGCTGGAAACCGTAGAACGGCCAACATTCGAAGCATAGGATACTCAGACCTCTTCTGTCTGTCCAAAGATGATCTG